AATAATATTATTTTATTTAGTGATTACTCCATTTATTGAGATTGGGCCAAGAATGAAAAAAATCTTATTATTATTAAAGGTTAACTTTTTTATACATTAGATGGGAGATGATATTAAAGATTTGATAAAGACGAGTAATTATATAGTTAAAGAATAATATAATCTTTCTATAAGACTATATCTATGGTATTAATTTTTTATTTAACATAGAATGATAGAAAAGAAACTTGAAGATATATAATAAATTTCTTGTAGAGTTATAAAGAATATGTATACTTTCAATTATTCCTAATCTTGATCTATTTCTATATATATATAGTATAGAGAAAATAGTCAAAAACCGGATATAGAACCAGTATTCTCATGTATATTACAATATAAAGTTTAATCCATTTGTTTTGTATTGTAATTAATATTAATGTTTGATATTTTAGTAATTCATTTTTCTCTAGAAATTTATAAGCAAAGGATTACTGGCTGTTTTTGTATTATAGTATACTAAAGTTATATTTCTATCTATATAACTTATTCTTTTTTAAGGATAGTTTTTTGTATAGATAAAAGTATATTGATAGAAGCTTTGAATCTCTAGTGTTCCAATAATTACTTTAATTTTTTCCTAATACTCCAAAAACATAATTATAACAATTAAAGTTTATATATCAAATATTACTAGTACTGTTCTTGCAACAGTATAATAATATTTATAGCTAAAGCCATACAGACTACCCTACAGGGATGCCAAGAAAAAGTGGGAATATAAAGGTTACAAAACACATTGAAAAAGGGGAATTAGCCGAGGTTTATAGATCGTCTGGTTCGAAACCCGATTTCATTATACTATATATACATTTAATATATTCTTCAATTGTTTTGATTGACCAGCTTCCCAAGATTATTTTGATAAGTTCTTAGTATACCCCTATAGCCCCTCTCATTCCTCTCCAAAATCACGAGTCTATTAGAAAAGATATACCTGAAGTTAATAGATTATATTGGAACTAGATAACCAAATTATTAAAGAAAAGCAATTATATTATAATCATTTATTCCTTAGCACCATATCTGAACTAAAAAGAAACCAGATCAAAAATAGTAAGCCGAGAACTCTTGTTTTCAAGAGCTTAATAAATGGAAATAAATGATGTATACCTATAAAGTAAGGATTTATAATTAATTTGATAAGGTGAGAACTCCTGCAAGTTCTTAATACTTTTAATACAAGATAATAAATATATATACTATAAAGATAAACTATTATATCAAAGTAATCAGTTTGTAATTATCTCCAATTTCTTTTATTATAATATCTCAATCAGATATAACAAATTCATCTAAGTATTTTCTATTTTTATCTCTCAAGATATTATTCCTAATTATTAATAATCATTATAAATACTAAGTTGAATATATATATAAATAATATTATTTTTTATCTTATTTATCTATATTTTCTATACCTTCTTTAATACTTAATTTATCTTTTTTACCAATATCTCTTGCAACTTCTTTATCAATACTTCTATCTTTTTCAATATCTCGAAAATGTTTCTTTTCATACCAGATATTTATATATATTTATTAATATTCTTAACTCATTTATCTTCTATTCTATC